CAAGCATGATCCTGGAGGATGAAGGTGTTTTGGGCAGCATTGAGAATTCTTTTCAGAAGTTCCATGCTTTCTTGGATCTCCTTAAGGATGCTGGGTTAGTTCATTTGTCTTTTTGGTATTCTTCCATCTGTGACTTTAATGGTAGTTTGCTGAGGAATTTGAACAATTTTTATGGCTTCCTTAAGTCACGCTTTGATTTTTTTCAATGGGGTATTAATTTTCAAAAGGAATGCAAAGTAGCAAACTTGCCTTGGTAGAGAGCTCATTATAAAAGAGTAACCTATAGCCAGCCCTGGTGACTAGTACCTTTAGTCCCAGCTACTCAGGGGGCTAGGGTGGGAGGGCTGCTTGAGGAGTTAAAGGCTAGTCTGGGCAACATAGGGAGGTTCCAGCTCTAAAAAAAGTAATCTGTAGATAGAGTACTGGGTAGGTATAATTCTTGGTAAAGATTAAATTGAATATAGTTTTAATTGAAAATATTCAGGAATAATAGGAATTTTTCTACCTTTTATTCATTTTGCTTGCTAAATAGGTTGGAATTAAAATTATTTTTGTCCTAGACATTAAAATTGTTATTAATCTGCAGGCTAGGTATAGATCAGTGGTAGTCAACTGGGAATGATTTTGCTGAAAGAAAATGCCAGAAGAGAGAATTGAAATAGATAATTGATGGAGTGATATTTTATAGTTGAATGGGTTGATGTGAGAAGGAAGGAGCAAACATATTCTTGGAAACTATAGGAGAGGTGGTAAAGATGTGTGGGAGGAGGTGAGAGGCACTAGGTATGTGACAGAAGCTAAAGCTTCTAGTAAAACAGTTCAAAATGGAGAGTTAATATGTAAGGAAATAAAGTCAAGTAGTATTTAATCCATTGTTGGGAGGAAGAAGGAATGCTCAAAGAATTAGATGATCTGATGTGGTCCCAGAGCAAGAATACGGGAAGATCTGAGAAATTGAGAGGGATGGGGGTTGTGGTCTAGAATAGGATATTGGCTTTTAAGATTTTAGGAGTAGTTTATGATCGTAGGTTTGGGAAAATCTAAGCTGTTCCTATGTGATTATAGTAACTCTTGCATTTTCTTCCTTTTCTTCTCTTGACCAGGCTGGGGCAGCTTGCCACAATGGCTGGTATAGATCAGTCAGATTTTCACTTACTAGGTCATCCCCAGATGAATTCTACTGTTAGCAGTCTACCTGCAGTCCCTACCTAACAGAAGCAAAAGAAGGAAGCCCTTGAAGAAGAAACCAACCAGAACCAAAGCCAGAATGCCCTAGGCAAAAATTGAAAAATATCCAAGAGTGACACAGCCATAGAAGCTTAAATGATTCTAAAGAATGATTAGGCAAAGGGAAGTTATTGAGTCAAAGAAAAAAACAATGATCTGTTCACATGTTGGTGGCTAGAAGCCTCTTTGGGGTCGCTTGCCAAGAGTCTGAACTTAGAACGCTTATGTGCCCCATTTCAATGATAAGTGATAGTCTGTTTGAATAAGAAAGCTAGAGAAGTTTGGCTGGGCACAGTGGCTCACGCCGTTAATCCTAGCACTCTTGGGAGGGCTAGGGGCCGGCATTTGCTCTAGGTCAGGAGTTCCGCAAACCAGCCGTGAGCAAGAGCCGAGACCCCGCTCTACCTGGTAACTTAGTAGAAACGAAATAATT